CACACACACACACACACACACACACACACCACACACACACACACACACACACTGTAAGTACGTGCGGGTCAAGTCCCAGGAGGTTGGGGGTCAGGTCACAAGAAGTTGTGGGCAGCCAAGGACCACTGAGATTACATTAAAATTGCACAAGTCCCTACCTTCAGTACATAATAAACCCACACATAATTTCACACAAAATTACAACACACACACACACACACCACACACAACACACGCACTGGAGGACAGAATGGTCAGGGGAGACATGATAACGACATACAAGATACTGCGGGGAATAGACAAGGTGGCCCAGAGATAGGTGTTCCAGAGAGGGGACACAGGGACAGGGGTCACAACTGGAAGCTGAAGACTCAGACGAGTCACAGGGACGTTAGGAAGTATTTCTTCGTCATAGAGTTGTCAGCAAGTGGAATAGCCTAGCAAGTGAAGTAGTGGAGGCAGGAACCATACATAGTTTTAAGAAGAGGTATGACAAAGCTCAGGAAGCAGAGAGAGAGAGGATCCAGTAGCGTTAAAGGAAAGGCGGGGCCAGGAGCTGAGTCTCGACCCCTGCAACCACAATTAGGTGAGTACAATTAGGTGAGTACACACACTCGTTCACCCTCCCCCTCCCCACCCCTCTCCCACATAGCCACAGTTCCTCCACTACCTCCCCCCCCCCACTCTGACATACACACTACTAACATAACATACAAAAATACATGGGTTTTCCCCACTCTGAGCAATCAGGATAAAACAAAAATGGGTTGCCAGAGAGCAACAAGAAAAACCAAGGGACAGGAGGAGGAAGCTGCAAAGGAAGATTGGGCAGCAGAACTCATAAAAAGGGATCATGAATGGGAAAAAGAAACTAGAAGAACTTAGCATGAAAATGGAAGAGAGGATAGATATGGAAAAGCAGGAAGTGGGAGGTGCATGTCAAAGCAGCAGAGGCTAGGATACAGAGTTTAGAAGAAGAACTGAAAAATTTTGAAACAGCCTAAAGAACTAAAGAACTTTTTGGGGATTGACAACAGAGACTGTACCTCAGCCACAAATAAGGGGACAGTGGGGAAAGAAGGAGCACAACTGCATGGAGAAGCTCATCAGAAGAGACTGTAGTAAATGAAAGAGCTAGCTTTATGTGGAGGCCCTAACAGACAACAACAGAGCCAAGGAAAGCCGAGAAGGGAAAATGACAGGCCACTGAGCCCAAGTATTAGCTAGGGAACTGAAGAAAGGAAAGCTGCAGTGGAGGAAACCAAATTAAATGAGGGGATCACATGGATATGCAGTGGGAAAATGAAAGGGTGAGGTCAGTCTTTGTGCATGGGCCCCAGGAAGTTGAAGGGGAAACATATGAATCAAGAAAACAAGGGAAAAAAAAGCAATTGAAAGCATATGAAAGCAATAGGAGAAGAAGACGAATGCCCAGCTGGAAAAAATTTTCGGAGAATAGGGGGGTTTGTAAAAAAAAGAACCCAGCCAGTGAAAGTGACCTTCAAGGCAAAAAGCGACTCGGAACGGATCCTGCAGGAGAAAGCACGGATTAAGGGACATGCCGGCATACGGGAAAGGGTTTGTATCTCGACCGCGACAGAACCAAGAAGAAAGGCAGAAACTGAGAGAGATGGTACAAAGGCAAAAAAAAAGGAGGAAAGAGAGGGGATGGAGAAGACAGACAGGAGATCCCAGACCCAGGAAGAAGATCAAAATACAGCCTCCCTCACAACTTCCTATAGAAGCCTCCCACCAGGTAAACCCCCAGTGCAACCAAACACCAAAATCAAAACACCCATGCCACATCCAATCCCCCCACCCCTACATTACAAACTCCACCCCCACAGCAACAACCCATATTTCCTTACCAGGTCTCCCATTTCCCCCAACCCCAATACACCTCCAGACCACAGTCTTAAAAAAGAAGTTGAAGGTGTGGTATACAAATGCAGATGGAATAACAAACAAGTATGGGGATGGCACGAAAGAATCAAGGAGACATCCTCAGACATAATAGCACTCACAGAAACAAAACTCACCAGAATAATAAAGAAATTTAATCCCTTTTCCATCCGGATATCAAATCCTCAGGAAAGACAGAGGGAGGAGGAGTTGCACTGCTCATTAAAAACCAGTGGGGTTTTGAGAAAATGGAAGGAATGGATGGCACAGGCGAAAGGGACTACCCTTTGTAGGAACAATCCAGTCTGGGGACATAAGGTGATAATTTTGCAGTAATGTACAACCCACCACAGAACTGCAGGAGGCCAAGAGAAGAATATGATGAGAGCAACAGAGCAATGATCAACAAAACTAGCCGAGGTGGCCAGGAGAGCACACATGGGGGGAGCAAGTTACTAGTTATGGGTGATTTCAATCACAAGGAGATTGACTGGGGAAAAACCCGGAGCCCCATGGGGTCCTGAAACATGGAGAGCCAAGGGTGATGGATGTGGTACTGGAAAACCTCATGCATCAACATGTTAGAGACACTACCCGAGAGAGAGGAGAGGATGAACCAGCAAGACTGGACCTTGTATTCACCTTGAGTAGTTCGGGCATCGAGGGTTATCATGTATGAAAGGCCCCTGGGAGCTAGTGATCATGTGGGGTTTTGTGCTTTGAAATACATAGTTGAGCTCCAAGTGGAGAGAGTAGCAGGGAAAAGGCTGGGAAAAACCAAACTACAAATGGGGGGAAACTACTCAGGCATGAGGGAAATTCCTTCAAGACATTCAGTGGGAGAGGGAACTGACAGGAAAACCAGTACAAGAAATGATGGACTATGTGGCAACAAAATGCAAGGAGGCAGAGGAGAGGTTTGTTCCCAAGGGAAACAGAAATAATGGGAAGAACAGAACGGTCCTTGGTTCACCCAAAGGTGTGGGAGGCAAAAACTAGGTGGGACTAGAGAATGGAAAAGGTACAGAAGACAGAGAACTTAGGAAAATAAAGAGATTAGCCGAAGAGCCAGAAACGAAAAATGCACAGATAAGAAGGGAGGCTCAGAGACAATATGAAAATGACATAGCATCAAAACTAAAGACTGACCGAAGCTGTTGTACAGGGCCCCATCAGGAGGAAAAACAACAGTCAAGGACCAGGTAATCAGACAGGAAGGGTGATGGGGAATTCACAAGAAACGACCGAGAGGTATGTCAGGAGCTCAACACAAGATTTTAAAAAGGTATTTACAGTGGAAACCAGTAAGACTCCCAAAAAATCAGAACAGGGAGGCACACCAGCAAGTGCTGGATGAGGTACATATAACCAAGGAGGAGGTGAAGAAGTGCTATGCGAGCTTGACACCTCAAAGGCGGTTTGGGAACAGAAACATCTCTCCATGGGTCCTTAAAGAGGGAGCAGAGATATTGTGTGAGCCCTTAACAAAGATCTTCAACACATCATTTGAAATGGGCAACTCCCTGAGGGATTGGAAAATGGCCAAATGTAAGTCCCAATTTTTAAAAAGGGAGACAGACATGGGGGCACTAAAAATAAAAGACCTGTATCAAATAACGTGTTATAGTATGCAAGGTCATGGAGAAGATCATCAGGAGGAGAGTGGTGGAGCACCTGGAAAGCAATAAGTGTATAATTGACAACAAGCACGGTTTCAGGGAAGGAAAATCCTGTGTCACAAACCTACTAGAGTTTTATGACAAGGTGACAGAAGTAAGACAAGAGAGACAGGGGTAGATCGACTGCATATTTTTGGACTGTAAGAAGGCCTTCGGCACAGTTCCTCACAAGAGGTTACTGCAAAAGCTAGAGGATCAGGCACACATAACAGGAAAGGCACTGCAATGGATCAGAGAATACCTGACAGGGAGGCAACAACGATTCATGGTACGCGACGAGGTGTCAGAGTGGGCGCCTGTGACAAGCGGGGTTCCACAGGGGTCAGTCCTAGGACCTGTGCTGTTCTTGGTATATGTGAACGACATAACGGAAGGGATAGACTCAGAAGTGTCCTTGTTTGCAGATGATGCGAAGTTAATGAGAAGAATCAAATCAGATGAGGATCAGACAGGACTACAAAGAGACCCGGGCAGGCTACAAGCCTGGTCCAGCAACTGGCTCCTTGAATTTAACCCTGCCAAATGCAAAGTCATGAAGTTGGGGAAGGGCAAAGAAGACCGCAGGACACAATATAGCTTAGATGGCCAAAGACTGCAAACCTCACCAAAGGAAAAGATCTGGGGGGTGAGTATAACACCGGCATATCTCCTGAGGCGACATCAATCAGATAACTTTCTGCAGCATACGGGCGCCTTGCAAACCTACGGATAGCGTTCCAATACTCAGTAAGGATTCGTTTAAGACTCTGTTATACCCTTTACGTTAGGCCCATCTGGAGTATGCAGCCCAGTTTGAAATCCACACCTAGTCAAGCATTCAAGAAATTAGAGAAAGTGCAAAGGTTTGCAAACAAGACTAGTCCCAGAGCTACGGGGATTGTCCTACGAAGAAAGGTTGGGGGGAAAACGGCCTGACGACACTAGAGGACAGGAGGGTCCCCGGGAGGGCATGATAACGACATATAAAATACTGCGCGGAATAGACAAGGTGGACAAAGACGGGATGTTCCAGAGAAGGGACACAGACACAAGAGGTCACAATTGGAAGTTGAAGACTCAGATGAATCAAAGGGATGTTAGGAAGTATTTCTTCAGTCATAGAGTAGTCAGGCCATGGAACAGCCTAGAAAGTGACGTAGTGGAGGCGGGAACCATACATAGTTTTAAGGCGAGGCATGATAGAGCTCATGGGGCAGGGAGAGAGAGGACCTAGTAGCAATCAGCGAAGAGGCAGGGCCAGAAGCTGTGACTCGACCCCTGCAACCACAAATAGGTGAGTACAAATAGGCGAGTACACACTCATTCACTCGCTTCCTTACTCATCATCTAATCAAACATTTGAATATTTTATCTACACTAAAATAGTCTCTAGACTATTCTGTAACAGGTAACCAAGTACATATACATAGCTATACTTACAATGACTTGCAACTTCTAGGAAGAGTCTCTCATATTTAGCATTGAGAGCAAACACCAGTGAATGACCATTGATGACTAGTGCAAAATCTCCATTAGCTTCCCCAGAATCAGTTGCATTAGTCCCTCCTACGTCATCTTCATCTTCACTGTAAGGATAAATGATCTTACTAGTGGTCAAAAACAAATCATAAAAAATTATTTACAAAGAAGAAAAATTGTAGATTAAAGTACCTTTCTTACCCTGGAAAAATAAACTTACCCTAGAAAAAATCAATCTTTGTAAGATATTTTTTGAAGGAAAATAGTATGATTTTTTTTTTTTTTTTTTTTAAAAAGTCAGCCATCTCCAACCGAGGCCCGGGTTTACCCAAAAAAAAAAAGAAAAAATCCCCAAAAAGAAAATTTTTCATATCATTCAACACTTTCACCTCACTAAAAATAATCATGTTTTTGCAGAGGTGCTCAGAATACAACAGTTTAGAAGTATATAATATAAAGTACATAACTACCCCTCCAAACTGTAATATCCAAAACCCCCCTTTAAAGTGCGGCTTGTATTCCCATTTTCCCGGACCCCTTTTTAAAATTTAAAAAAAATTTTTTTTTTTAAACCATTAAAAAAAAAAAAAAAAGGGGAAATTTAAAAAAAACCCCGGGTTAAGGGGGGGCCCCAAAAAAAGGGGGGGGAAAAAACCCAAAAAAGAGGGGGGGGGGTTTTAAAAAAAAAAATTTGGGGAAAGAAAAAAATTTTTTTTTAAAAAAAAAAAAAAAAATTTTTTTTTAAAAAAAAAACCCCAAACTTTTTAAAATTTTTCCAAGTAAAAAACCAAAAAAAAAAATTTTTTGGGGGGGGGTTTTTTTAAATTTTGGGGGAAAAAAAAAAAAATTTTGAAAAAATTTTTCCCTTCCCCAAAAAAGGGGAAAAAACCCCCCCCCTTTTTTTTTCCCCCCAAAAAAAAAAAAGGGGGAAAAAAATTTTAAAAATTTTAAAAAAAATTTTTTCCAAAAAAAAAAAATTTTTTTTTTAAAATTTTAAAAAAATTTTAAAAAAAAAATTTAAAAATTTTTTTAAAAAATTTGTTTTTTGGGGGGTTTTTTTTTAAAACCAAAAAAAAAGGGGGGGGGAAAAAAAAAAAAACCCCAAAAAAAACCCCCCTTTTTTAAAATTTTTTTTTTTTTCCCCCCCCTTTTTAAATTTTTTTAAAAGGGGGGGTTTTTCCCCCCTTTTTTAAAAAAAAAATTTGGGGGTTTTTTTTCCCCCAAAAAAAATTTTTTACCCCCCTTTTTAAAGAAAAAGGGGGGAAAAAAGGGGTTTTTTTTTTTTTTTTGGGGTCCCCCCCCCGGGGGGGGGGGCCCCCCCAAAAAAAAAACCCCGGGGGTTTTTTTAAAAATTTTTCCCCCAAAACCCAAAAAAATTTTTGAAAAAGGGGGGAAAAAAAAAAAAAAAAAAAAATTAAAACCCCCCCCCCCCTTTTTTAAAAACCCCCGGGTCCCCCCCCCTTTAAAGGCCATAAAAAAAAAAAAAATTTTTTCCCCCTTTAAAAAAACCCCCCTCCCCCCCGGGAAAAAAAACCCCCCCCCCCTTTTTTTAAACCCCCCCCCTGGGGGCCCCCCCCCAAAAAAAAAAAAAAAAAATTTTTTTTTTTTTAAAAAAAAAAAAGGGGTGAAGGCTTTTTGGGGAACCCTTTTCTCGGTGGAAGACAGCCAAAGAGCTAAAAAAAAAAACACATATGTACATATTTTAAGGGAAAAAAAATGGGTAAAAAGAGTTTAAACAAATTTGGCAATTTTCAGCATGTATTCTAGACTGAAAAGTTTTTCTATTTTGTGTTTCCCTTCCCAGTAACCCGTTTTCCCGAGGGCCCGGCCTAAATCCCCAAAAAGGCCTAAAACGAATCAATAAGAAAAACTATTGTAAAAACAATTAATCCCTTCCAGACACCCCCAAAATATTAACAAAAAATACATTTTTTTTAAATTAGCTAAAGTTTAACATACATAAAAAAAATGAGAAAGAAAAACATAACTAATTTTAGTAAAAAAATGAACATTCATACCCCTTATTAAGACTCATTTGGGGATATGAAGAAGGGGAAAAGGAGGGGAGAGGAGGAGAGGTTTTTTGTTTTGGAAAAAAGGGGAAACCCCTTCCATAAAGGGCTTCAGATAAACAAAACCCTTTCTTTGGGGGTTTCTTCCTTCTTTGTCTTTTACTAGGACCCCGCTTGAGGGCGTGGATTTCCCTCGTACAAAAAATCGTCCAGAGTGGCCTGTTTTTTGGTGTCTCCTTTTAAAACTTTGCCCCTAAAATGGGACAAGACATTGTCCTTGAACATGTTGCAGACACGGGTTGTAACAATTTTGTCAGGGTGATAACTCTCCGCAAAACTTTGCACATCACTCCACTTTGCACAAATGTCCTTAATCAATGAAGAAGGCACATTCTCTTCCCTCTCTTCCTCCTCTGAAGCAATATCCACAGCTGCAGTCTGTTGCTGTTCCAGTTGAAGGTGTTGCAGCTCTTCAGTGGTTAGCTCTTCCCTGTGGTCCTCCACCATCTCTTCCACATCCTTGCCACTCACATCCAACCCCATGGACTTCTCCAGTGATACAGTACATTCCACAACAGGTGTAGGGTTATCAGGGTCAGCCTCAAACCCTTCAAAGTCCTTGTCGAGGACATAACCTGGCCACAATTTTCTTCAGCCAGAGTTTCAAGTCCTGGAAGTCACTCCCTGCCAAGCCTTATCTATAAGGCTTATGCAGTGGAGGATATTGAAGTGATCCCTCCAGAACTCTCTTAGGGTGAATTCAGTGTCCAAGGTCACTTCAAAGCACCTTTGAAACACTGCTTTTGTATACAGGTTTTTGAAGTTTGAAATGACCTGCTAGTCTATGAGCTGGATGAGAGGAGTGGTATTAGGGAGCAAGAACTTCACTCTGATGAGCTTACACTCCTCAAACAATTGGTCTTCCAAGTCTGGAGGATGAGCAGGAGCACTGTCTATTACCGGAAGGCACTTGAGTGGCAATTTATTTTCCAGGAGGTATTTCTTCACACTCAAGCCAAACACTTCATTGACCCATTCAAGGAAAATTTGCCTCGTGACCCATGCCTTATTGTTAGCCCTCCACATCACACCCAATTTACTCTTCATGACACCGTTATTTTTTTGAAGAGTCGGGGATTTTCAGAGTGATACACGAGTAAAGGCTTCACTTTGAAATCCCCACTTGTGTTACCACAGAACAAGTAAGTTAGCCCGTCTTTCATAGGCTTGTGTCCTGGCAGTGCCTTTTCCTCCTGCGTGATGCAGGTCCTCTTTGGCCTTTTCTTCCAAAAGAGGCCTGTTTCATCACAACTGAACACTTGTTGGGGGAGGAATTCTTCAGCCTCTATGTACCCTTTAAATTCATGAGTGAATGCTTCGGCCTCACATTTGTCAGAACTTGCAGCTTCGCCATGCCTTACAACACTGTGTATGCCACTACGCTTCTTGAATCTGTCGAACCAGCCTCTGCTGGCCTTAAATTCACTAACAGCAGCACTTGTTCTTGGCATTTTCTATACAAGATCCGCATACAACTGCCTTGCCTTCTCGCAAATTATACCCTCCGAAACACTATCTCCCACTAATTGTTTCTCACTGATCCACAACAACAACTTCTCCACATCCTCAACTGTTTGTGACCTCCGTATCGTTAGCATATTTGCCCCTTTCGCAAAATCAGCTTCCTCGATTTCTGCTTTCTTCAACAGGATGGAACTGATTGTCGATGTTGATTTGCCATACATTCTGGCGAGGTCTGACACACGTATGCCACTTCCATATTTTGCTATAACTTCTTTCTTGAATTCTATCGTGTTTATCACCTTCTTTACCAAAGGGCTGGAACTTTGAACTTTCTCTGGCCCTATGGTGGCTTATTTCACAGTTGCAATCACAAAAAAAGACCAGAAACAATGGATGAAGCCACAAAGTATTCCTAATCCAATGAGAAAGGCACGCAGACTGAGTGTGATACGCGTGAGGAAGAGCGTCACCGGTCAGTGGTGACGCGTCTCATATGGCCTATTTCTGAGAGCATGGCCGATATCCAGAACAATTTCGCTGATAAAAGTGCTCAATTTTCAAATCGGCCCATAACCGGGGTTCCACTGTACAACTAATGTAGCGTACAGGCAGATGGTTTATCAAGTAGATAGTTGTGATACATGTGAGTCATAATCTCATGGGCATAGTGTCTATATCCTAAATGACTGTGCCTGCAGGTGGTGCTGGGATCTGAATTCAAGGAGGTTAAGAGTCACTGACCGTTCAGTGACATTAGCCAACCGACACACTACTATATTGTGACACTAGTAACAGACTCCTACTTATATACATAACATACCACTGACAGAGGGTATATATAACTGCAAGCAACTGAAAGTCAATAACATGAAAGAATGAAAAATTACAAATTTATCCAATATTAACCCGCCTTCCAAAATAGCTCAATTTTTTTCTATATTTTAATTGTGACTAAAATAGTGACAGAGAGCTATACTTATACTAACTGTTTAAAATATAACAAAGAATAGAGAGAAGAGAGGAAAAAGAAGGATGAGTTGACCATATTTTTCTTGACTATAAGAAAGCCCTTGACAGTGCAGTTTACTACACAAGACTACCATGCAAGCAAGACTTTCCAGAGGAGACAGGCAGAGTACTACCAGGAGTTAAAAACTGTATGATTACAACAGAGCAACAGCGAGATACGAAGGGTCAGGAAGGGCAACATTAATTACTGGAGTATTTAGGGATCAGTGCTAGATCACCTTACTGTACCCAGTGTATGTTAACCTGCTACTGGAATACATACATTTACTCTTTAAGAGATGTACAGTTCAACCTGTTTGCTCATAATTGATGTGGATTGTGTATATCCCAAAAATAATTTTATCTATTAACTACAGTTTTCATTTTTTATTTTAAACCTTTTCACTGTCGGTGCCATATATGTACGGCTTACAAGCCAGTGTTGGTGATGTATTAGTATGCCAAAATTCTAGCAGCTTCAAATCTAGCGGGAGAAAGCTGGTAGACCTACGTGTGAGAGAATGGGTCTACACGGTCAGTGTGCGCAGTATAAAAAAAAAAAAAATTGGAGAGCCAGTGATGCATTGTGGGAGTCCCATTTCAGTAGTCCTTGTTTACCATGCTTTGTGGTAAGAAATACCTCACTCCCCAGTGAATTGGGACTCTTCTATTCCCAAGTAATAGCTCCAACACATATGAAAGTGTCAGTGAAGATGAATTTCATGGTTCTGAGGAGCTTGTGACTGAAAGCAATGCCCAGGATATTAGAAATAGTGCTGAAAACCCAGACAACTATCAACTTAGGATAACTCAAAAAAGTCAAAGTGACTTATTTCCATATGGGTGGTGGGAAAGACAGCATGCTTGTTGGGGAAGAAATGGGTAATGGGTGGTAGTGGTTGTGTAATGTGTCATGTGACATCAGCCACGTTGCTCTCAGCACATCCATAACGAAGGTTACCCACACACAACCTTCCACAAGCTGTAGCAATTTTAGGAACACGTCTAGTGACTATATGTGCATATACAGTGGACCCCCGAGTTTCGTGATAAATCCATTCCAGAGAGTCTGCCAACTGGCGAAATTTGCGATTGGCGAATCTATTTTCCCCATAAGAAATAATGGAAACCCAATGAATCCGTTTCAGACAGCCAAAAGTATTAACAAAAAATAATTTTTTTTAAAGATTAAATATAGATTTACATACAGAAAACAATGACAAATAAATATAAAGCACTAATAAAATGGATAAATGAACATTTAACATCACACTTAACCTTTATTGATTCTTGTTGGTGTAGGAGGTAGGTAGGAGGCAAGAGGAAGGCGAGTTTATTATGCTTCAATATGATGCTGTTGGAGTGTGAGCAGGGTAATATTCAGTGAAGGGATTCAGGGAAACCGGTTATTTTTATATAGCCAGATTTAAGTTCTGGAAATGGGAAGTATAATGCCTGCACTTTAAAGGAGGGGTTTGAGATATTGTCAGTTTGGTGGGATGTGTAATAGGATGGTATATATATAATTGGGGCCCTGATATTGTAATTATTTCAGGTCACTTTTTATATTGTATCTTCATATATGCTTCTAAACTGTTGTATCTGGGCGCCTGTGCAAAAACAGTGATTATATATGAGAGAGGTGAAAGTGTTGAATGCTGATGAAAGTATTTTCATTTTGGGGATTTTCTTTCTTGTTGGGTCACCCTGCCTAGGTGGGAGATGGCCGACTTGTTGAAAAAAAAAAAATACACTTACATAATTGTTCAAGTTTTGAGCTGTTCATATCCCGAGGTACCACTGCATATATAAAATATATGTAGGTAGTAGCTTGGTAGACAGCAACCACCCAGGGAGGTACTACTGTCCTGCCGAGTATAAAATGAAAGCCTGTACTTGTTTTATATGATGGTAGGATTGATGGTGTCTTTTTTCTGTCTCACAAACATGCAAGATTTCAGGTACATCTTGCTATTTCTACTTACACTTAGGTCACATTACACATGCATGTACAAGCATATATATACATATATTACTAGCTCTTGCTCTTGTTTATTTCCTCTTATTTCCATGGGGAAGTAAAACAAAATTCTTCCTCCGTAAGCCATGTGTGTTGTAAGAGGTGACTAAAATGCCAGGAGCAAGGGGCTAGTAACCCCTTCTCCTGTATACATTACTCAAGTTAAAAAGAGAAACTTTTGTTTTTTTTCTTTTTGGGCCACCCTACTTCAGTGGGATATGGCCAGTTTGTTGAAAGAAAGAATATATAAAATATACCTAGGTAGCAAGTTGGTAGACAGCAACCACCCAGGGAGGTACTACCGTCCTGCCAAGCGAGTGTAAAAACGAAACCTGTAATTGATATACATGATGGTAGGATTGCTGGTCTTTCTTTTGTCTCATAAACAAGCAAGATTTCAGGAACAGGAACATCTTGCTACTTCTACTTACACTTAGGTCACACTACACATACATGTACAAGCATATATATATACACCCCTCTGGGTTTTCTTCTATTTTCTTTCTAGTTCTTGTTCTTGTTTATTTCCTCTTATCTCCATGGGGAAGTGGAACAGAATTTTTCCTCCGCAAGCCATGCGTGTTGTAAGAGGCGACTAAAATGCCGGGAGCAATGGGCTAGTAACCCCTTCTCCTCTATAGATTACTAAATTTAAAAAGCTAAACTTTTGTTTTTCTTTTTAGGCCACCCTGCCTCAGTGGGATATGGCCAGTTTGTTGAAAAAAAAAAAAACACACCACCTCTGGGTTTTCTTCTATTTTCTTTCTGGTTCTTGTTCTTGTTTATTTCCTCTTACCTCCATGGGTGTGTGGAACAGAATTCTTCCTCCTTAAGCCATGTGTGTTGTAAGAGAAGACTAAAATGGTGGAAGCAAGGGGCTAGTAACCCCTTCTCCTGTATATATTACTAAATGTAAAAGGAGAAACTTTCATTTTTCCTTTTGGGCCACCCCGCCTTGGTGGGATACGGCCGGTGTGTTGAAAGAAAGAACTTTAAAACAACTGAAATTTTAGATAGTTTGCAGACATAATGAAGAGATGCGGTGCTTACAAAGCTTACAGAGAATGTAAACAAACCAGGTGGCATGCAGTGACTGTATTAGAAAGTCGGGGTGGGGGAGGGGGGGGGGAAGTCGTATAGTGAACTTTGGTCATAATTTGAAATGTCTGTATTAGCAGAATGTCCTAAGGTGAAACACCATAAAGCGAGGCCCTAATGTACCTGGACATGCACATGAACAAAATAATTCTGGAACAAAAGAATCCATAGAGACCTAAGGCTGTAAATTCACGTCCTCAATTTTTATGCCTAAAAATAAAAAACACAACAATTTAGTTGCAACGTAAGTCACATATACTAATTGAAGGTTACAATATAAGTCACATATACTGCCCGAAGGTTACAATGTAAGTCACATATACTACCTGAAGGTTACAATATAAGTCACATATACTGCCTGAAGGTTACAATATAAGTCACATATATTACCTGAAGGTTACAACAGAAACGTTTGTTTTTGGACGCTTGGTGGCCGACACATTTCTAATTTCTTCACGAAATTTCTGCAGCTGATCTTCAACTTCTGAGGCACTTTGAGTATCGATGATGAATATGTTAACCATTTCATCAGTCAACAACTGTAAAAGTAATATACTACAGTTACTGTACACCTCACTATTTCAGCAGGTACAAGATCTCAATGTAAATGACTAATAGAAGGGCAATGGGTGGTTGGTGGCCCTACTGTCTGTGGTGACTAGTTCTACAGTAATAATGTTTGATGTGATGGTACCAGCAGTAGATAATATTGTAACCAATAGTCTTTATCCAGTGTTTCTGAATCACTTAACCCACATTTCTACAGGTCCATTAAATCAAGGTCCATTAAAATGAAGGCTTACTGTACTTGCCACCGTTTTACAATACAACTCTCTCTCCCAACCTCATTTTATTTTCTAGACTAAGATTTTGCTCTTTGATCTATGATGCTGACATGATTCTCAAATTTTCTCTAACTTTCCTGTTACCAAAGACATATTTAGGTACTGAATAATATGACAAAAGAGTAAACTTCACCTACAATATTGGGATACGGTTTCAAATACATTTTTCTTTTCAAGTGGCTCTTGAGATCTTATTTGTTCCCTAGCTAAATTTCATTCATTTTTGGTCTTATTTTAGGTGAGGTATATGTCAATATTTCTACCAAGAGTGTGGGAGCTTCTTTTAGGTCACCCTACTATGGGGGTTATAGTTGTGACATTGACAGAGCACTTTGAGCATAAAAGTCACTCAGCACTCATAGCCACAAAAAATATATATCTTTCTTTAAACAAATCAGCCGTATCCCACCTAGGCAAGGTAGCCCAATAAGAAAAACAAAAGTTTCTCTTTTTAACTTTAGTAATGTATACATGAGAAGTAATTACTAGCCACTCGTTCCTGGCATGTTAGTTGCCTCTTACAACACGCATGGCTTATGGAGGAAGAATTCAGTTCCACTACCCTATGGAGATAAGAATAAACAAGAACAAGAACTAGTAAGAAAATAGAAGAAAACCCAGAGGGGAATGTATATACTATATGCTTGCACATGTATATGTAGTGTGACCTAAGTGTAAGTAGAAGCAGCAAGATGTACCTGAAATCTTGCATGATCATAAGACAGAAAAAAGACACCATCAATCCTACCATCATGTAAAACAAATAAGAGGCTTTTGTTTTACACTCACTTGGCAGTACAATAGTACCTCCCTCCCTGGGCAGTTGCTGTCTACCAACCTACTACCTCACACAAACACACACATCTCTCTATCTCTATCTATCTATCTCTCTCCCTCTCTCTTAGTAATAGGTAAAACGAGTGTAAAACGAAAGCCTGTAATTGTTTTACATGATGGTAGGATTGCTGGTGTTTTTTTTCTGTTTCATGAACATGCAAGATTTCAGGTACATCTTGCTACTTCTACTTACACTTAGGTCACACTACACATACATGTTCTTGCTTATTTCCTCTTATCTCCATGGGTAAGTGGAACAGAATTCTTCCTCCATGAGCCACATGTCGTAAGAGGTGACTAAAATGCTGGAAGCAAGAGGCTAGTAACCTCTTCTCCTGTATACATTACTAAAGTTAAAAAAAAGAAACTTTTTTGTTTTTGGGCCACCCTGCTTCAGTGGGATAAGGCCAGTGCGTTGAAAAAAAAGAAGACATACCACACAATAAAACAAGCATAAAATTAACAAACAAGAGAAACTACATGAATATGCAACACAAATAAACATATGCCTTGGTGGGAGATGAACAGTATTCCTTTGAATTATTTAAGGCATACAGACACACAAAGATACCAGAAGGGTTCCAGTGGCATTACCTGACATGAATATCCAATATTGATTGCAGTTTCTTGTTTATCCCCAGTGAGAACCCAGATTTTAATGCCAGCTAGGGCTAAATTTGCTATAGTCTGAGGCACACCATCTTGAAGTTTATCCTCAATTGCAGTTGCCCCTATGAAAACAAAACACATGACATGGTTTATATAAATGAGTGATAATTGTCTGGTCAAATATATTTCTTTACTTATTCATCAATCCTTAAACTGCTGAAGGGTCTAAAATAAATATGCCCTTGCTGTCAGTGATTCTGAAAAACAAAATTATTTTTTTTATCTTGGCAAAAAAAAATTTTTTTTTTTAGGGGTGTAATAATACAAGAATGAGTAAAATCATAGTAGTACTTATGAAGATATGAAGGCCTGAAGGTGACCTATTCTTATGTTTTCTTATAGTTCAATAATGCTAGGGAAATGGTATTTTCTGGTTATCACAATGCCTTGCAACTTTTTTTTTTATATTATACACACATATGGCTCAGGTCTGTTCCTCTGATGCAGGTTTAACCTGGCCAATCATGGCCATTTTGAAGGTCCTAGAATTTAGACAAAGATACGCCAATGGTATTTTTCCAGCTGGCACAAATTTATGTTCTCGTCAGCTTAGTGGTTAAAATTAGTAAAATATCTTTAAAAATACATATTAGATAATAAATCTATTTTTAATAAAACCCTTCTATATAAAACCATGTTTTAAATTTTTTTGGGCCTGTTCTTGGGTGGAGGGAAAAAAAGGAAGGACAAACATTTGAAAGAAGCCAAAACCCCCTTTTAAAACCCCCCCTCCCTAAAAAACCTTTTTTTGGGGGTTTACCCCTACACTTTAGGGTTTTTTTAAAAAGAGTAAGTATAGTCGGGCCTTTAATTGGGAAAGAAGAGAAAAAGGAAAAAAGTGATAAACCTTTCATGAGTTTTAAAAACCAAAAAGGCCATCTGCTGCCCTTTTACAAAAAAAAAACCCTTTAACCTTCCTTGCCCTTTCCCCAAACACCACCCCCTGACAACTTTACTAAGTGAATAAAAGCACAGAACAAACAAACCATAAATACAACTAGTTTAACACATAGATTAAGACCCCCCTGCTTTCCCTTTTTAAACGCTTTTAACGTAAAATTTTTTTTTTTCAAAATGTATATCTTTGTTGAAAAATTATGGGGAAAAATGGTTTTATATGCTATCAAAAAAACCCTTGGTTAGGAGGGAAAATTTTAGCAGACTAAAAAAGAAATTTTTAAAATTGTACAGATATTATTTTGGGTTTAAGTTTTGATTTTTAAGTTTTCTAAGTTTAAAATTTAAATTTTCCCAAAGATTAAAAATATCAAATGTAATGATTATCTTAAGAAAATAAAACTTTGCATATTAAAATAGGCAATGTTAATATGAGGATAAAAAGGTTTCATTAACTATGTTTAACATTTATATCTGATCTATGTAAGTTTGAATCAAATTCCAAAGTTGTTTTTAAGTACAGCAGGCAACTGTATTTTGCATGGGTTACATTTCACAAAAATAGAACTATAGGTGAAAATGTGATGAATGGAGTGAACAACTTATGGGAAAAATTGGGTTACATGCCATTACAACCTGAAAATAAAAAAAAAAACTTTTCAATTCTTAGTTCATCAATATTAATAAAGTTTTTGACAATTTACAGTAGGGCCCCACTTATATGGCAGGTTAGGTTCCAGGCTACTACCAGAAAGCAGACATCGCCGGAAAGCAGAACGGCATTTTTTTCCACTTATAAATGCATATAAATGCCAGGTAGCAAGTTTACACTAACATATATAACATATATAGGTAGTAGGTTGGTAGACAGCAACCACCCAGGGAAGTACTACCGTCCTGCCAGATGACTGTGAAACAAAAACCTGTAACTGTTTTGCATGATGGTAGGATTGCTGGTTTCTTTTTCTGTCTCATAAACACGCTAAGATAACAGGGATATCTTGTTTACTCCTTACTTACACTTTGGTCACACTTCACAGACACGCAATGCATATTTTATATATACTACTTTCTAGGTTTTTTCCTTTTTCTAATAGCTCTTGTTCTTTTTTATTTCTTCTATTGTCCATGGGGAAGTGGAAAAGAATCTTTCCTCCGTAAGCCATGCGTGTCGTATGGGCGACTAAAATGCCGGGAGCAATGGGCTAGTAACCCCTTCTCCTGGTATACAATTACTAAAAAAGAGAAGAAGAAAAACTTTATAAAACTGGGTTGCTTAAATGTGCGTGGATGTAGTGCGGATGACAAGAAACAGATGATTGGCTGATGTTATGAATGAAAAGAAGTTGGATTGTCCTGGCCCTAGCGAAACAAGCTGAAGGGGGTAGGAGAGTTTCAGTGGGGGAAATAAATGGGATTAAATCTGGAGTATCTGAGAGAGTTAGAGCAAAGGAAGGGTAGCAGTAATGTTAAATGATCAGTTATGGAAGGAGAGAAAAGAGAATATGAATGTGTAAATTCAAGAATTATGTGGATTAAAGTAAAGGTTGGATGCGAGAAGTGGGTCATAATAAGCGTGTATGCACCTGGAGAAGAGAGGAATGCAGGGGAGAGAGAGAGATTTTGGGAGATGTTAAGTGAATGTATAGGAGCCTTTGAACCAAGTGAGAGAGTAATTGTGGTAGGGGACTTGAATGCTAAAGTAGAGAAGAAACTTTTAGAGAGGGTGTGGTAGGTATGTTTGGGGTGCCAGGTGTAAATGATAATGGGAGCCCTTTGATTGAACTTTGTATAGAAAGGGGTTTAGTTATAGGTAATACATATTTTAAGAAAAAGAGATAAATAAGTATACACGATTATGATGTAGGGAGAAATGACAGTAGTTTGTTGGATTATGTATTGGTAGAAAAAAGACTGTTGAGTAGACTTCAGGATGTACATGTTTTATAGAGGGGCCACAGATATATCAGATCACTTTCTAGTTGTAGCTACACTGAGAGTAAAAGGTAGATGGGATACAAGGAGAATAGAAGCATCAGGGAAGGGGAAGAGGTGAAGGTTTAAAAACTAAAAGAGGAGGCAGTTAGGGTAAGATATAAACAGCTATTGGAGGATAGATGGGCTAATGAGAGCATAGGCAATGGGGTCGAAGAGGTATGGGGTAGGTTTTAAAAATGTAGTGTTAGAGTGTTTCAGCAGAAGTTTGTGGTTACAGGAAAGTGGGTGCAGGAGGGAAGAGGAGCGATTGGTGGAATGATGATGTAAAGAGAGTAGTAGGGAGAAAAAGTTAGCATATGAGAAGTTTTTACAAAGTAGAAGTGATGCAAGGAGGGAAGAGTATATGGAGAAAAAGAGAGAAGTTAAGAGAGTGGTGAAGCAATGTAAAAAGAGAGCAAATGAGAGAGTGGGTGAGATGTTATCAAAAAATTTTGTTGAAAATAAGAAAAAGTTTTGGAGTGAGATTAACAAGTTAAGAAAGCTAGAGAACAAATGGATTTGTCAGTTAAAAATAGGAGAGGAGCGTTATTAAATGGAGAGTTAGAGGTATTGGGAAGATGGAAGGAATATTTTGAGGAATTGTTAAATGTTGATGAAGATAGGGAAGCTGTGATTTCGTGTATAGGGCAAGGAGGAATAACATCTTGTAGGAGTGAGGAAGAGCCAGTTGTGAGTGTGGGGGAAGTTCGTGAGGCAGTAGGTAAAATGAAAGGGGGTAAGGCAGCGGGATTGATGGGATAAAGATAGAAATGTTAAAAGCAGGTGGGGATATAGTTTTGGAGTGGTTGGTGCAATTATTTAATAAATGTATGGAAGAGGGTAAGGTACCTAGGGTTTGGGCAGAGAGCATGCATAGTTCCTTTGTTTTAAAGGCAAAGGGGATAAAGAGAGTGCAAAATTATGGGGGGATAAGTCTGTTGAGTGTACCTGGTAAAGTGTATGGTAGATTTATAATTGAAGAATTAAGAGTAAGACGGAGAATGGGGATAGCAGATGAACAAGGAGGCTTTAGGAAAGGTAGGGGGTGTGGGGGACCAGGTGTTTACAGTGAAACATAAAAGGGAAAACAGTATTTAGATAAGGCTAAAGAGGTTTTTTGTGGCATTTATGGATTTGGAAAAGGCGTATGACAGGGGGATTGGGGGGGCAAGTGGCAGATGTTGCAAGTGTTATGGTGTAGGAGGTAGGTTACTGAAAGCGTGAAGAGTTTTTACGAGGATAGTGAGGCTCAAGTTAGAGTATGTAGGAAAGAGGGAAATTTTTTCCCAGTAAAAGTAGGCCTTAGACAAGGATGTGTGATGTCACGTGGTTGTTTAATATATTTATAGTGGGGTTGTAAGGGAGAAGTAAATGCGAGGGTCTTGGCAAGAGGCGTGGAGTTAAAAGATAAAGAATCACACACAAAAGTGGGAGTTGTCACAGCTGCTCTTTGCTGATGGACACTGTGCTCTTGGGAGATTTGAAGAGAAGTTGCAGAGATTGGTGGATGAATTTGGTAGGGTGTGCAAAAGAAAAAAATTTAAAGGTGAATACAGGAAAGAGTAAGGTTATGAGGATAACAAAAGATTGGTGATGAAAAAATTGAATATCAGATTGGAGGGAGAGAGTATGGAGGAGGTGAACGTATTCAGATATTTGGGAGTGGACGTGTCAGCGGATGGGTCTATGAAAGATGAGGTGAATCATAGAATTGATGAGGGAAAAAGAATGAGTGGTGCACTTAGGAGTCTGTGGAGACAAAGAACTTTGTCCTTGGAGGCAAAGAGGGGAATGTATGAGAGTATAGTTTTACCAACGCTCTTATATGGGTGTGAAGCGTGGGTGATGAATGTTGCAGCGAGGAGAAGGCTGGAGGCAGTGGAGATGTCATGTCTGAGGGCAATGTGTGGTGTGAATATAATGCAGAGAATTCGTAGTTTGGAAGTTAGGAGGAGGTGCGGGATTACCAAAACTGTTGTCCAGAGGGCTGAGGAGGGTTGTTGAGGTGGTTCGGACATGTAGAGAGAATGGAGCGAAACAGAATGACTTCAAGGTGTATCAGTCTGTAGTGGAAGGAAGGCGGGGTGGGGTCGGCCTAGGAAGGGTTGGAGGGAGGGGGTAAAGGAGGTTTTGTGTGCGAGGGGCTTGGACTTCCAGCAGGCATGCGTGAGCGTGTTTGATAGGAGTG